CCAGTTGCGTGGATTTGGGTCTTTTCTTTCTTTTTTTCACTAATATTGGCCAGGGCTTTGCAAAATTTTATTTATTCTTTCAAAGAACCAACTCTAATTCATTGACTCTTCACATTGTTTTTTATTCCAAATTTCATTAATTTCTGCTTGTAGTTTTACAGTTTCCTTTCTTCTACGTAAGTCCCCAACTTGCAAGTAAATTCCATTCCATGAGAATGTTTATAATTCAGATTTGTTTGTAAGTTCAACCAAATGAGTCTTGTACACCTTTGACACAAATATACAATATAAAACATTTTAAAAAACAGTGTAAATAAACAGTTTTTAGTACTGTTGTGGTACAGTACTATACAACTGTAAATAAACTATTTTCCTTTTGCAGTTACCTTAAAATTGTAAGGTAGAGGGGCTGGGGATTTAGCTCAGCGGCAAAAGCGCCTGCCTGGCAAGCGCAAGGTCGTGAGTTCAGTTCCTGGTACCTGAAAAAAAAAAAACCAAAAAACCCAAAAAACCAAAAAAACCAAAATTGTAAGGTAGACACCTGAGTTACTTCATGATTTGTTTACACCTACAAAAATTCATAATGCAAGCTCTGTTCATAATGTGAGGTCTATTCATACCTGTGAAAGTGTGCAACTCAAAATGTTCATACTGTGCTAGCTTTGGATTTGGATTATTCTTGTTTTATTAGGACCTGGAGGTGCATCATTAGATGACTTATTTGGGTTCATTTTGTTTGTCTGATATGGGATTTCACCTCTATAAATATCCCTGTTAGGACTGCTTTCACTGGGTCCCCTAAGTTCTGCTGTGTTGTACTGGCTGTATCATCTATAAACTCTCTAGTTGTCTCCTTGGTTTCTTCTGTGACTGATTAATTATTCAAGAGGGTATTGTTCAGGCTGGGGATATAGCTCAGTGGCATAAGCACCTGCCTGTAAAGCACAAGGTTATGAGTTCAATCCCCCGTACTGCAAAAAAAAAAAAAAAAAAAGAGGGTATTGTGCAATTTCCATCTCTTTTCATAATTTCTGTGGTTTCCTTTGCCATTGATTTCTAGTTTCATTGCATTGTGATCTGATAATATACCTGGGGTAATATTGATTCTTTTACATTTACTTAAGTATGCTTTATGAGCTAGCATGTGGACTATTTGGAAAAAGTTCCACATGCATTGAGAATAATGTACATTCTGTTGTTGTCGGTTAGACCATTCTGTAGATATTTATTAAGTCCATTTGTTCAAAAGTTTTGTTCAACTCTGTTACTTCCTTGTTCATTTTTTTGTCTAGTTGGTTCTATTCATTTGTGAGACTGGGTTTTGAGGTCCCCCATTATAATTGCACTGATGTTTATCTGATCTTTCATGTTCAGTAGTATTTGTTTTATAAAGTTGGGCATCCTAGTGTCTGGTATGAATATGTTTAAAATTGTTATCTGTTCCTGTTGCATGGAATATTGTTTTCCATTCTTTGATTTCTTCATCTGTGAATTTGTTTTTTAATTAAATGAGGGAGAGTTCGCTTTGTTTGGTTTGGTTTTGGTTTTAGTTGTTTGCTTGTCAGTTGGTTTGTGACAGGATCTTGCTATGTAGGTCAGGCTGGCCTTGAACTCACTATGTAACCCAGGCTAGCCTCACATTCAAGGTAATCTTCCTGCCTCAGCCTCCCAAGTGCTAGAATTAGAGGCATGTCCCACCATACCCAGCTCATTCTATTTTCTTTGTATGATTTCTAGTGAGAAGTCTGCTGTAATTCTTACAATGACTATTCTACAGATGTGGTAGATTTTCCGCCCCTTTGCTGCTTTTAAGATTTTTACTTTGTGTTTGGTTTTCTGAAGTTTGAATATGTCTGGGGCATGTGTTATATGCATGCATGTGCGCATATGCATGTGCATATATGTATACATATATGTACACATAAGTGTATGTGTACATTCCAGGTGAAAGAAAGTTCAAGCAAAGTCTCCCTTCTCTCACTTCATGAATGAAATTTTGTTATGCAGAAAGCTCTGGATATATATCACTATGATTCTCTTCTCCTCCCTCTGCCAGTCACATAAAGTGCTCACTCCTAGATCTTCATTGCAAAGACTGGTAGAGTTCCTAGTGATAAACTCATGAAAACGTGCTCCCTGCCTAACACTGGCACCCAGGAGCTTTGTGCTGTCATGCCAGTCCACACTCAGTCTCCAGGACTGTGTAAAACTTCCTGGCAGCATAGAGCTCCAACAGCTACTACCCAGGTAAGAAGAGAATAGCTGTGACACTCTGAATTCACGTGTCTCTCCAGATTTGGGGGTGGTAATTTGCCCTGATGAAGCCAAGAAAACCTGTTGATTTTCCTTTTGTTCACTTTCCTTTGTTTTAAGGATGAGAAGCCTCATTTTTTTCTGTGCCAGGTATAGTGTCAGGTATCCTTAACATGTACCATAGCAGTGGTGATAAAGCATGAATGGCCCAAGTCCCGGTATTTGGTGCTTCTTTGTTTTTGTTTTTGTTTTTATCTTTTTGAGACAGGGTCTCGCTACGCAGTTCAGGCTGGCCTTGTGCTCACTTTGTAGCCCAGGCTGGTCTTGACCTCACATCGATCCTCCTGCTGCAGCCTCCCAAGTGCTGGGATTACAGGCGTGCGCCACCACGCCCAGCAAGTCCCAGTATCTGGGTGTCCCTGAATATGGATAAGAATCCAACCTCACTGCAGTAACATTTATCCTATGGACAATGTCCATGCTTGGAACTTGCTCTTTCATCATTATAACACCCCCAGGGACAGGCTACATTTCAATCAGTTTTAGAATGGATCTTTCTACTCTGTGGAATCCTACAAAAATATTACATGAAGTGTTGATGGATGATATTTTTTAAATGCTATGGAGAAATAATTAGAACAAACTTGATTAAACAAACAAGTGTCTTTTAGACAATTCTAGACAGCATTTGCTATGCCAGGTACTATAAATTCAAAAGAGATATGTTGACATCTTTTCCAAAAGTCATTAGGTCATGCAATCTTTCACTTTTCTCAGGGTTCACCTGGTGGAACTTGACTTTATAAAATACGTTTTGTGAACACTTGGTATATTGTTTTGTTTTGGTTTTTTTTGTTTGGTTTTTTGTCTTTTTGAGACGGGGCCTCGCTATGCAGTTCAGGCTGGACTTGAGCTCGCTTTGTAGCCCAGGCTGGCCTCAAACTTGCAATGATCCTCCTGCCTCAGCATCCCAAGTGTTGGGATTATAGGCATGAGCCACTATGCCCAGCTTTTGTTTTGGTTTGTTTTGTTTTTTTGTCTTTTTGAGACAGGGCCTCACTAACAGTTGGTATATTGATATTATCATCATTATCATCTCTGGGGGCTCCAAAACAGTGCCAATCTCTTCCCCACATCATAATCAATATTTCACTGAGGTAATAGCACAAAGGCACAGATAAATAAAGGTGGTCACCTAGTCACAGTACTTGCATAACACATCTGGTCTAATCTATTGTGTCAAGGATGTGAGTAGGCGGATGTCTAAATGTAAGTTTCCACAACCTATGTCACTAGCAAAGTACCATTCCACATTTGGTAAAATTCACAGAGAACACTGCATTCCATATATGGCTCAGGAACCAATTCTCTTCTGAGAAAAGTATAGGGCCAGGCCCAGAAGCATTCATCTATGTGCGCAAGCATCTGCAAGTTCATCATTGGAAATGAATTGCTTGCACTAATTGGCTAGTAAGTCATTCTGATTGCATGTTGGAGCCATAGCTACATCCTGTTGGGCTGTCATGTGTTTTCCACCCTAAAATGTCACACTGTAGGTGAGCTGTCACGGCCAATGCCAAGGAAGCAATTGCAATATGATATCTGGTTCTTGTGTGGCTACAGTTGTTCAGCCTGGATGTAGTACTATAATCTAGAACGTGTTGATTTGGAGCAATATGCATGATTACGTGGTTTAATTGCATGTTGTTAAGGAAGCTGTGACCTTTCCAGTGCCATCCTGGATGTGGCATTGTGCTACTGGGAGGAGGAGGAGGAGACAAATGCGTGGGGGAGCTTGACAACCGTAGTGTTCCATCGTGTAATTATTCAAGTGTATTCAATAATTTTGAAAACCATGCAAACAATGCCTCAGATATTAGTGGCCATCTACTGCTTAAAGAAAATTGTGTAAGACTCCCATTGCCTTGAGCAGCGATCCAGAAACATTACCAGTCACTTGTAAATGTGTGCATACGACATCAACATGAGCAAGTCTCTCATTTTATCCATTTTGAAAAAACAATATAATATTAAAAATTAAAAACATGTTATTCTAGCCTATAAACCCAACAGTAAAAAAACTATAGTTCAAGAATGCCATAACCATTCCATATGGCATCAGAAATTGAGAGTAGTACAAACCCTACCATTTGCAAGATGTGTTACATTTTAAAATCTACTTTTGTGCTCATTATAATGTTTGATTATAATGAGAGAAAGCAATACAACAGAAAACAAAGGAGGTTTCATCCCCCCAGTTTTGCAGTTGTAACAGCAAAGCAGAAATGCTAAGTGATTTGCTGTAGGAAAGTGAAGATTTAAGTCCAAACCTTTTGGCCCCAGCTCATAGCTTCTTCCCCTCTGGAGCATTACAAAGCCTAAGGACGAGATCTAGAGTTTGAAACACACATTAATTCTGCCTGAAAGCTGGCTTGTTTCTCTACAGTATGTGCAGCCAGATCCACAGAGTGAAATGAAATGGCTTGGCATCTTTTGTTACAAGTTACCTCAGGATTAGGCCGGGCCTGCCTGCATAAAATGGAACGCACCAGAAAGAAAGCAATTGCCCAGACAGCCCAGACCTCAATTATTTTCACCTGAGAAGTCCTGATAATTGAGGCACAAGTTATGTTTGGACCCAGAATGGTGGATGTGAGTGACTTGAACGTCTCTGTGGCTTTAGATCTGATTGCAATCCACATAAAATTACCAGGCGTTGATGTTCTCTGTGCTGAAACATAAATTACCTCCAAAGCAGCACCCTCTGGATCCGTGGCTGCTGCTCTGTAAATGCCTGTGCCCGGAGCAGTGTCCTCTAGGATATAAATCTCAGTAACTGCCAGAAAACATATAATAGATGTGGTTGAGTTTTACCACTGTTAAACCTAAAAATCCCTCATCCAGCCTGTGTTTTATAAACTGAAAGCATTATACTTGCTCAGTACTGATGTTTTTATAGAAGGAGTCCCATTATGCCAATAATAATAGGCCCCATTTATTGTCTATTACATGTCAGCCGTAAAGGAAAGAGATCTATAAACAATAACAATATTAGCATGGCTTCTTTTATATGAGAAAACCGAAGTATAAATGAAGAGCAAAACGAGAGATAAATGAGAGAAGGCAGGGAGACAGACCACGTGGAGAGGGGTGAGGCAGGAGCGTGGGGAGGGCGGAAGTGCGAAG